AACTGTAACTAACATTTGTGACCACCACTTCCACAACCATCATCGACGAACCACCATTGTCACCAATGTCATCATCAAAACATCCACCGTCTGTTGCTACTTGCTAGAACCACAAACCATCCATAAACCACCGCACACTGCCACATTCACCACCGACCAACACCAAAAAAATCATATCCAAACCCTAAATCAGAGCAGCGCGCCAACGACGACAAGCACCACCGCTACCCCGACGAACCACCACCCGCACCTCGCCATCTCTGCCACCATCACCACTACTCCAATGAACCACAACCACCACACATAATCGGCACCCGTACACAGAACTCACACAAATTAGCACCAATACACCACAGATCCGCTACCCCCACCACCTGCGCCAACGACCATCGTCACCACCGCAACCACACCAGTCTCCCTAAAACCACCAAAAACATAGAAATCTCGCAACAATCTGTCCGGTCCCCATGCTGCTACCGTGCACAGCAACGCGCCGGTCTGATTTCGCAGCAACAGAGGCCCTCTTTCGACGGAGCTCCTCCTTCAGCCGCACGGCAGATCGACGACGATTTCATAGTAGTGGCGCTCAGATGATGCTATGATGATTCCCAGCAGCCGTGGCGGTGCCGATACTGGTAGAGAAGAATAGAGTTCAGAGAGAGACAGTGGAGAGAAGAAAGACAGAGTCGATGCCTTTTGGGAGGAGAGAGAGTGTGGAGAGAAGAAAGGGAATAAGAATGAAATACGGTGGGAATGAAATCCGGTGGAGATTAATGTGTATATAATTGAGTATATTAGTAAAATATTTATTTTATAAAATATTGATTAAAATAATATTTCTGATTATTGAAATATTAAACTTTGAATCTGATTTTAGAAGGTTGAATAGTTAAAGTATGATTTTATGTAATTTCCACTTTCTTAAATAGACCAAGTTTTAAAATTAGCCCACTTCTAAATTTCTTGCTCAAAATAGTAGAACTTCTAAAATTTAATGTGGTAGGTAAAAGGCAAAAAACAACTTTATTTTTGCTGCAATAGTCTAAAGAAATTAAACCCAAATGAAATGGCAGAATTGGATTAATTGATGTTTTAACCTCTTCACATCAGAAAGAATATCCATGTTTGTAGGCTTATAAGCAAGAAAATTATCTAATGAAATTGACCATACATATAAAATTTGGTGAGGGACATAATAATAATAATAATAATAATAATAATAATAATAATAATAATAATAATAATAATAATAATTTAATTCTTTGTTTTTTCATTTATTAATTATGCTTACAAGTTAAAAAATACTTATTGACCATAAATAGATGTTATTATCAAAATGGGTAACTTGCTCTATATTTAATTTTATTAGAAAAAATATTTCTTAAAAATTTATTTATTTATAAATTAACATTATTAAAATTATGAAGTGAAATAAATCCAATTTTTTTAACTCTCAATATTCTTGGTCAATTTTTCCCACTTCATGTGAAATTAAAATGTGTTGATATAGAAGACTAATATCCATATTAGATAATATTTTCAGAACGGTGTATTTTGACTGAAATCCTTTAATAACTGGAATGACTTCTTGTTCTTTTTAGACCCTGAGTCTCATAGTGGTGAAAATAGGCTTTTCTTAATTTTTTGTTGGTGGGTATACATTATTTGTTCATGGCTATCATGTTTTTGACATTTTATATTTTATAGGGAGGTGTCAAGATTTCTTATTTGGCAAGAAAACCTATGAAGATTTAATAAAACATCTTTAGGATTAAAATGTTTAAACTTATTTGAATATCTGACTCACTTTGTCATTAGTGTCATAAGTTTAGCCGTTTGAACTATGTTTGGGGTGCCGTGCAGAATCTCTCATGGCGTGAGTTCATTCATTATTTATTTTTTAAATTTAAGATCAACACAACATTTTTTCCTGGCTCCGTCCTTGGTTATAACAAATATTTAAGATACTATACCCTTATGGGGTGGTCAAGTTGGTGGAATAGGTGAGCGTGAGACCTTTGATCACGAGTTCGATTTTTTCTTCCAACACTTCTCGGTCGAGCATGTTGCATCGGGTTTGTCTAGTGCTGTTTACCATAAGGGTAGCAGCTACTGGTTCTCCCGTCATTAAAAAAAAAAAAAAAGATTTAAGATACTAAATTATGAATTATCTCGTATTCAATTCCCACATATACAAGAGCTTTTCTTCACGTGACAAGTTAAATTTTTTTATTTACTAGAAAATGGTACTAAAATCAAGGTGGTATTTCCTCTAGTTTATTGGATTCAATTATATTATGGAATGCCTTGTTTGTTTACTTTTGGATCTATTTATTGATGATTTTGTATCTAATTGATTGATACAACTTTGAGAAGGCTTGGTACCTCTTGCAATTATTTCCTTCAAAAAAATATTTAAAAAATAATCAAAATATTTTTTGTGACAAAAGACATTCTCGCCACGCAGCATGATTTTCTTTCTCATGACTTTGCAATACAGAACTCCAAGGAAATCAGAGAGAGTCGCCAATGTGAGAGCTCAAAGGCGTTTACAATGCGCATCTTGGTTATTCTCTCCAAAATGAAAACAAAAGGGTGAATTATGTCAACTTAGAGGTGATAATGAGCTGAGCCAACGTAGATGTCCAAGCTTTAACTGGCCCTATGAACGATCTGAGCTCGGCTCGATTCTTTAACTAGTGGGTTGTAAGGCCTGCCCTAGGGCCAAGCCACCTAGGCAAATGCTTGGGGCCTCAAAAAATTGGTTTGGGCCCAGAGCCTCAAAATGGATACAAATTCCAAGCCTCCAAATACAAAAATCCAATAAAAAAGGCTTGAACTGCACAATTACAAATACGAACTGCACGAAACTGTTCCAATTTTCAATTCGACTTGAGACAGAGTAACAGACGAGACGACTTCCTTTCCTTCCGCTTCTGCTTCTAGAATTCTCCAGACTCCAATCCGAAGGGGGAGTTCATTGTTATTTTTGTGGTTTAGGTTTTTTTGGTTGTTGGTGGAGATCATTAAATTTTTGAATGTACCGATAATGATAATCAATTTGAGGGGTACGTTTTAATCAAAATTAGGGTTTATCTGCAATTGTGCATAACTTTGGGTGCAAACACTAAAGTTTTGCACTTGAAGGCTGATGTTGTACGGGGTTCGTTTTGGATAATTATTGTTGTGTTTTTTTTTTTTTTGCTTTTATTTTAATTTTATTTCTTTTTAAACCCTACAATGAGTTCAAAATTGCCCCAAAAATATCAGAAAAACTTGTTATTGATGGAAGTAAGTGGTGGCTTTTATTGTGAAGTAATATTCCCCAATTTGACCTCTCGCCTCCGCCTGATTGAGGGTGTGAGTAAGTGGAACCTCTCAGCTATTTCTCTTCTGGTTTTTGCCATTGTTGATTGTCCAATGTCTTGGAGTTGATTTATTTATTTGTATTTTGTTGTGTATTTCTATGTGCTTTGCTGAAATGCTGCTTATGTGAGTCGTCATTTTGCAAATGCTTGGATTGCTTACAGGATATTATTGACTATCCCAATCACTGTTACGTCCATTGAAAGAAGTTTTTCAAAGTTGAAATTGATTAAGTCTTATTTTCGATGAATCATGTCACAATAGAGGTTGAATGAATTAGCTATGATTTCCATTGAAAAAAACATGTTGAAAAAACTTGATTTGAGTTGTTTGATTACTAATTTTGGATCTCATGATGTAAGAAGACTAAATATGATGCTAGCCAAATCTCTCAAGTTGTATGTGGTATTTTATGTAGCAGTTCTATCTATTAGATTGTACAAAATTTTCATTTAAATATAGATATTTTTTATTTAAATATTGTTATATGTATAGAAAAATAAAGTATAGGGCCTCAACAGGGCTGGCTCGCTTAGGGCCTCTAGATGGTGAAGGCCGGCTCTATTGGGTCGAGTCAAACCAGCCACGAATCGATTCATTTTAGTTTTTATTTTTCAAAATTAAGTGTATTATATGGGAATTTTTGAAAACTTTGATTGACTTTTAAAGACTTTGATGAAATTTTTTTTTATATAAATTTGTATGAAATTAGTGGAATTTTTTGTTAGACTTCTATAGACTTTCATTTTAAAATTTTTATAGACTTTTATATAATTAAAAAAACTTTTGAAATTTTTTATTTGAAATAGAATTCACGTGGATCTAATACAATGGTGTAAAATTCTCACATAAGAGGTGTTGGTTCCCATGATTCCTCATTTCCCCCCTTTTTCTTCCCATATAATTAAAAAAAAATTAAAAGAATAAAAATTTAAGACCTAAATTAAATAAACAATAATCAAAATTATACATATATATGATAAGCAATAAATTTAATATTCAATATTATTAATATAATATACTTTTTAAAAATAAATAAAAATCAATATATTTAAATCTAATTATAAATTTTTAATATAAAATTTTATAATTTAATAAAAAATAAATATTTTTTCACAAAAAAATTAATGAAAAAAAGAAAAAAAAGTTTCAAAAATTCAATTTAATTTTTCATATAAAATAGAGATAAACAATAAAAAAGAGAAAAAAATTGTAAATATAATCGATAGAAAAAAAATAAATTTTAATCATACATGTTCGTGGAAGGAAAAATGAAAGAAAGATTGAAAAATCAAATTTTAGTAAAAGTCATCCAAAATCTCATGATTAATGATTGACAAATTTTGAGATTTTATATGAGTATTTTTTGCTTAAAAATTAGTACTCTAAAGACTCTAGAAATCATTAAAATTTGAATACTCAAAATTTATAGAGGCTTTTATAAAGTTTTAATTGAATATGTCATAACTTTTAGGGACTTTTTATAAAAGTCTCAATTAAATACACCATAATTTTTAAAAACTTCTTAAAAGTTTATAAAAATTTTAATTATATACATCAATACTTTTCAAGAATCTCAAAAAGTTTACATTAAATACCCTTCAACTGTTTACATTGAATACCTTGAACTTTTTTAATCTAAAAAAGTCACTGAATTGAACACTCACTTGAAATAAACAAGGCATCGCACGATGGGATAACTGAATAAGTTGTGTCAAAAGTCCTAGGTTCCCGTGCTGTTACAAAAAAGGTCTTTCAGACTTGCATTCTCTGTCTCTTCTTTCTCGGGTAGCATTACCAGTCTCCAAGCGGAAAGATCATGGTAGAGGCTTCTCTCTCTCTCTCTCCCCATTGATCTTTTGGTAACTTGGGCTTCACCGTAGATTTTTCTATCCCGATAACTTTCCTTTTGCAATTTGCATGCGCTAATGAATCTGGAATTTTTTTTTTTTTTTAAACAAAAATTTAGTTTTTACTTGTTCACTTTGTACGAGAATCGATTCCGTAGATGTCTTCATTTCTTTCATATCCATAGAACGTGATATATGAATTTGTCTTAATTTGTCTGGATATAGATGACTGAGCGGTGATACTTCTGAAGCGTAATTTAGAGTACCTTCAGTTTCTTCTTCCTTTCTTTTAAGCCGCAATTTATGATACAGAGAATAAGGAGTATATTTTTATTTTTACATTTCCACATATTCCATTTTTGGTTGATGCTCTTGTTTTTGCATTAAATATGAAATTATTATTTAAAAAAATATACAGCTTGAACGCAATTGGAATTTCCTGGGGATGAAAAGATAAAGATTAATAGCAGTTTACTGGGGATCTGATTCTGATTTTTCTTTTCCAGTTTTTTTTCCTTTATTTATTTATTTATTTATTTTGCTATGTAAGACAGTAAGAGCATCTCCAATAGGCTTTATTTGAGATTAAGGATAATCATGAAAATTCTCTAGCGTCCCCATGTCAAGGGGCAGTTTATACAAGTTTGTTTTCCAACTCCATTAAATCTTGATGATAAGAAAGATTTGCAGACTACTTCGAAACGTCTGGCAGAAAAGAAAACAGCGAAATTTGAGAACAATATCACAAGGAGAGGACTGGCTCCTCAATCATCTAAGAAAGAAGAATGGGAACCTGCACACATGGTTCTTGTCCTCTTTGCAGTTCTGATACTATTGTCATGTAAGTTTTTTTTTTCTCTGTGCTTAAATGAATATTATTAACTGGGAATAATATAATTATTCAATTATCGGCAAACGTTATATTTTTTCTACTTTTGCAGTTATTTATCAGGTTGTCAGGATGGCGATTAACGGATGAATGAGCTGAGAAAATGGATNTTACAATGCACATCTTGGTTATTCTCTCCAAAATGAAAACAAAAGGGTGAATTATGTCGACTTAGATGTGATAATGAGCTGACACTGGGGCCTCAAAAAATTGGCTCGGGCCCAGGGTCTCAAAATGGATACAAATTTCAAGCCTCCAAATACAAATATCCAATAAAAAAGGCTTGGACTGCACAATTATAAATACAAACTGGACGGCACTATTTCAATTTTCAAATCTAATTTCAATTCGACTTGAGACAGAGTAACATACGAGACGACTTCCTTTCCTTCCGCTTCTAGAATTCTTCAGACTCCAATCCGAAGTGGGAGTTCATTGTTATTTTTGTGGTTCAAGTTTTTTTGGTTGTTGGTAGAGATCATTAAATTTTTTAATGTACCGATAATGATAATCAATTTGAGGGATACGTTTTAATCAAAATTAGGGTTTATCTGCAATTGTGCATAACTTTGGGTGCAAACATTGAAGTTTTGCACTTGAAGGTTGAAGTTGTACCGGGTTCGTTTTGGATAATTTATTTTGTTGTGTTTTCTTCTTCTTTTGTTTTAATTTTATTTCTTTGTAAACCCTACAGTGAGTTTAAAACTGCCCCCAAAAATATCAGAAAAACTTGTTATTGATGGAAGTAAGTGGTGGCTTTTATTTTGAAGTAATATTCCCCAATTCGACCTCCCGCCTCCGCCTAATTTAGGGTGTGAGTAAGTGGAACTTCTCAGCTATTCTCTTTCTAGTTTCAGCCATTGTTGATTGTCCAATGTCTTGGACTTGATTTATTTATTTGTATTTTGTTGTGTGTTTCTATGTGCTGATTTTGTTGAAATGCTGCTTATGTGAGTTGTTATTTTGCAAATGCTTGGATCGCTTACGGGATATTTTTGACTATCACAATCACTGTTACGTCCGTTGAAAGAAGTTTTTCAAAATTGAAATTGATTAAGTCTTATTTTCGATCACATGAGGTTGAATGAATTAGCTATGATTTTCATTGGAAAAAACATGTTGAAAAAACTTTATTTGAGTTATTTGATTACTAATTTTGAATCTCAAGACGTGAGAAGACTAAATATGATGCTAGCCAAATCTCTCGAGTTGTAAGTGGTATTTTATGTAGCAGTTCTATCTATTAGATTGTAAAAAAATTTCATTTAAATATAAATATTTTTTATTTGAATATTGTTATATGTATAGAAAAATAAAGTATACGGCCCCGTTGGGGCTGGCTCGCTTAGGGTCTCGAAATGTCTAGTGTGCTGAGTCGAACTAGCCACAAATCGATTCATTTTAGTTTTTATTTTTTAAAATTAAGTGTATTCAATTGGAACTTTTGAACCAGCCACAAATCGATTCATTTTAGTTTTTATTTTGAACTAGTGGGCTGAGTCGAACTAGCCACGTATCAATTCATTTTAGTTTTTATTTTTTAAAATTAAGTGTATTCAATTGGAACTTTTGAAAACTTTGATTGACTTTTAAAGACTTTAAACAGTTTTTTTTTTATATAGATTTATATGAAATTAGTGGAAGTTTTTGTTAGACTTCTATAAACTTTCATTTTAAAATTTTTATAGACTTTTATAGAATTCAAAAAACTTTTGAAAATTTTTATTTGAAATAGAATTCACATGGATCTAGTACAATGGTGTTAAATTCTCACATAACAAGTGTTGGTTCCTACAATTCCTCATTTTCCCCCTTTTTCTTCCCATATAATTAAAAAAAAATTAAAGAATAAAAATTTAAGACCTTAATTAAATAAATAATAATCAAATTATACATATATATGATAAGAAATAAATTTAATATTCATTATTAATATAATATACTTTTTAAAAATGAATAAAAATTAATATATTTAAATTTGATTATAAATTTTTCATATAAAATTTTATAATTTAATAAAAAAATAGATATTTTTTCACAAAAAAAAATGAATGAAAAAAAGAAAAAAAAGTTTCAAAAATTCAATTTAAAATTTTCATATAAAATAGAGATAAATAATAAAAAAAGAGAAATAAATTGTAAATATAATCGATAGAAAAAAAAAATTTAATCATACATGTTCGTGGAAGGAAAAATGAAAAAAAGATTGAAAAATTAAATTTTAGTTAAAGTATCCCAAAATCTCATGATTAATGATTGACAGATTTTGAGATTTTATATGAGTATTTATTGTTTAAAAATTAATATTCTAAAGACTCTACAAATTATTAAAATTTGAATACTCAAAACTTATAGAGACTTTTATAAAATTTTAATTGAATACGTCATAACTTTTAGAGATTTTTATAAAAAATTTCAATTGAATACATCATAATTTTTAGAGACTTTTTAAAAGTTTATAAAAATTTTAATTATATACATGAATACTTTTCAAGAATCTCAAAAAGTTTACATTAAATACCCGAACTGTTTATATTGAATACCTTTGAAAAAAGTCACTCAATTGAACACACACTAGAAATAAACAAGGCATCGCACGATGGGATAACTGAATAAGTTGTGTCAAAAGTCCTAGGTTTCCGTGCTGTTACAAAAAAGGTCTTTCAGACTTGCACTCTCTGTCTCTTCTCTCTCGGGTAGCATTACCAGTCTCCAAGCGGAAAGATCATGGTAGAGGCTCTCTCTCTCTCTCTCTCTCTCTCCCCCCATTGATCTTTTGGTAACTTGGGCTTCACCGTAGATTTTTCTATCCCGATAACTTTCCTTTTGCATGCGCTAATGAATCTGTAATTTTTTTTTTTTTAAGCAAAATTTTAGTTTTTACTTGTTCACTTTGTACGAGAATCGATTCCGTAGATGTCTTCATTTCTTTCATATCGATAGAACGTGATATATGAATTTGTCTTAATTTGTCTGAATATAGATGACTGAGCGGTGATATTTCTGAAGCGTAATTTAGAGTACCTTCGGTTTCTTCTTCCTTTCTTTTAAGCCGCAATTTACGATACAGAGAATAAGGAATATAATTTTATTTTTGCATTTCCACATATTCCATTTTTGGTTGATGCTCTTCAGCTCTTGTTTTTGCATTAAATATAAAATTATTGTTTCAAGAAATATACAGCTTGGACGCAACTGGAATTTCCTGGGGATGAAAAGATAAAGATTAATAGCAGTTTCCTGGGGATCTGATTCTGATTTTCTTTTCCTTTTTTTCTTTCTTTCTTTATTTATTTATTTTGCTATGTAAGACAGTAAGAGCATCTCCAATAGGCTTTATTTGAGATTAAGGATAATCATGAAAACTCTCTAGCGTCCCCATGTCAAGGGGCAGTTTATACAAGTTTGTTTTCCAACTCCATTAAATCTTGATGGTAAGAAAGATTTGCAGACTACTTCGAAAAGTCTGGCAGAAAAGAAAACAGCGAAATTTGAAAAGAATATCACAAGGAGAGGACTGGCTCCTCAATCATCTAAGAAAGAAGAATGGGAACCTGCACACATGGTTCTTGTCCTCTTTGCAGTTCTGATACTATTGTCATGTAAGTTTTTTTTTCCTCTGTGCTTAAATGAATATTATTAACTGGGAATAATATAATTATTCAATTATCGGCAGAAGTTATATTTTTTCTACTTTTGCAGTTATTTATCAGGTTGTCAGGATGGCGATTAACGGATGAATGAGCTGAGAAAATGGATCTGTTTCAATGCTTGGAAGTTATTTCTTGCTGGCACTTTTCTTCGTTTGTTTTGGGGATTTTAACAATTATACAGATTAAGAATTATGAACAGCACCGTTTCTAATGAATGCCCCTTCTGTTCATTTCTGCAATAGGTTACATTCTTTCCAGTATAGGGGAAAAAACTGCTAAAATCTTATTTGTGTAGTGTCCAGTTGTGTTTAAAATTTTATTCAGCAACTCCCCTTGTACAAAGGAATTACTGCCAGCATCTTTTTTTTTTTTTTTTTTTTTTTTATTGTCCAATAAAAAACAGCTAAGTGTGTTTTGTAACAATTCTAGTGGCACTTTTTCTGTACACATAGCAAAACTGAATTTTATTATATTAATATTAGAAAAAACACATTAAATGGGCTAAAATGATTAAATTGGCAATTTAGCCAGTATATCCAATACAACACAAGAAAACTGAATATTCTGACCATACAAAGGTTTCAAATTTTTGCAACGGAGAGTAGGATGCTGGAACAAAGTAAAAATGCTCAAGAAAAATTTTAAAGTTCCTGAGTATTAGATAAAGTTTATTATTCATTGGCTTTCTGTAGTTGCATTTGCTTTCATCTGACCTCCAAGCTACACGAATGGAACCACTTCCTGTCTTTGAGCATTGGCTACGGTCCGAACTTTTAGATAGCTTCCTGGTACATGTGTTAAATCCATTGCAATTTTGCATATTGGACTTAAACACCTCATCTGGGGAATTATATGCATCAAATTCCTACAAGTACTTGTATAAGATATTGTAATATTATCCATTCGTATAAGCTAATATAAGATTTCTGAATTCAAAATCAAGATTTAGATAGTGAAGGAAATGCAAAGAGATTTGGTTCAAGTTTGAATACAGGTACCTTAGACTTTGTCTTGGCATAATTAGGCGTTAGGCAGGGATTTAAATCTTTGAGAAACATGTCATCTGGACTGCCTGCCGTGTAATCTCCTGAGCTGAACTCGTTACCAAACTGCTCAATATACAAAACTAAGATATCCTTGCTAATTTATGTTGAAGTAAAATTGGTTGAATTTTATTTATTTTAAGAAAAGAACATGTGCATCATAAATATGAGACAGTTAATTCTTTAGCCCTGAGAAAAGTTCTGTTGGTGGTAAAAGAACAAATCATATAAATATTAGTAGAGAAAACGTGCCAAGAGTGTCTTTCAAACATTTATACGACATGATTTTCTGATATTTAAGCACGATGATATTGTTTAATGCTTGAGAGAATAATATACATGACTTGCAAAGTTCCCATGTCCATTTAGGTTAATAATTCTTGAAACAAATAGGAACTCGTTTGTACTCTTCATCTATGAGTCTATGATCTTAGTAGGAATTTACAAGATCAACCTTTCCAAAATAAGATCACCACTTGGATAGAATGTGTTTACCAGAGAATTTGCTTCTTCATCTTGATCGTATGACGGTGTCCTTGGAGAGTTAACATGATCGTCACAATATCCTCCCGATGAATATTTCTCAGCCTTCACCTACAGCAACAATTATATATTATCAAGTTCACAAGCAAAAGTGATCCTAAATCTGACAAGGTTATGTATGAATTCAAAACATTATGGAGCAGAACGAAATTAGGATCAGTTGATACCAGGCAACAACTTCTCAAAATTAGTTAACAAAAATATACTGCAGTAACTATCTATGATTGAAACATGACCCGGTTTGAGAGGCTTAAAACATCTCTGCTGCAGCTGCATTTCACCAACTCCAAAGCTGATCCATCATTTTTTGTGAGATATACAAAACATTTTAGTTTATGATGATGACATAGTCATCACAGGCAGTGATAACTCAGAAGTACCAGAGTTGCTGTTGTTGTTAAACAACCCTTTCGCATTGAACGATCTTCGGGATCTTAGCTATTTTTTGGGAATAAAAGTTAAAAGGCTACAAATGGGGGATTGCATCTTTCTCGGTTCAACATCTTTTAAGGAAAAAAAAGATGGCTGACGCTTAGGGCATTTCCTCCACCAATAGTAGCACTTAATTGTTCAGAAGGATAGGAGATGCTTTACCCAATCCCATATTATATAGAATCATAATGCACTTCACTATGCCACACTCAAAAGACAGATAAACATGCAAAATTCACCTGTTACATATTTGAAAGCAGTCAAAAGAATTCTAAGTATTTGATAGGAACTTTCGATCACGGGTTATTTTAGACATAGATTTTATTATTCAACTTCATGATTTTTTAGCTGGAGATTGGGGGTGATAGGAAATCTATTTCAACCTTTTTCATTTATTTTGGTGGCAATGACATTATCTGGAGTTCAAAGAAACAACAGACCATTTCAAAGCCTAATTCGAAAGCTAGGCTAATGCTACTGCTGATATGTTAGCTGAAAGGTAAGTTGTACAAAAGTTATCACACCATACAGTAGGTACTTTAGATATTTGAATATGTAACTTGATCCTTATTTTGTAAGAGAAAAAGTGGAAGCTAAGCAACATGATGTTCAACATATTACGTCCTCAGAACAGACTGCTGACAGCTTGACAACAGGCCTTACCAGCAAATTTCCTTGAAAAAATTGAAGACCAAACTCAAAATAGCTTCAATAGCTACTATTGGTTCAAGTTAACAAGATTATAATATACAGTTTCTCATTTTCTTTCTTGCTCTGTGTGTAAACTCCAACAAGCAGCTACTGGCCAAGAATGTAAATATTTTGACAATCAAGAATAGAAGTAGAAAGTTTTTTTGATTCTTTCTGCTTCCTTAGAGAAAACAGCAAGGACATGGTATAATGAGCGAACTTGTTTGTCTTGAATCCTTATAAAATATCGTTTTCCCAATTTTTTATTGGAAATAAGCCTTAGTTTTTATCATGTAAATGTACTTCGGAACCAAACAACAGTTTAGCACCAAACATGCAGAATCCCTAGAGCTTTATATACAGAAAGCAGTTAGCTACAAGTAAGGTTGGACATGGTTAGGCTCCGTTAGGTCATAAAGAAACCGAATCAAACTAGAATTTTTGAGTATTTAGTAAATGGAACTGTCGGGTCCAAATTTAACTATTGAACATTCGGGTTTGGTTCCGTTTAGTTCGGTTCGATTTCCAGGTTCTATAAAATAATTAATTTTTTAATATTTACAACAACACTACATTAATTTAACAAATGACATGTTCAATTTTAACTTTTATCAAAAAATGTAGTCGAATCACATGATATATTTTGCACCTCTCTTTGTTGAGTTCTTTATAGATTTGACTGCTAGAATTACGAGAAGGGGCAAATAACGAGCTCAAAATAATAAAGAGAGACGCAACCGAGCTTCCAATTCGATTTCTTCATAACGGCAAAAACGGATTACAGTAAAATAAGAGATTTGGATAAAACTTAAGTTAATTTGATTAAGTTGAATTTGAGCTGAAAATTAAAAATAGGAAAATTATATTTTTGATTTGGGCTAAATTAAATAGTTAGCAATTTTATTTAAAGAAAATAAAATAATTTGGCTGATTTAAGATTAAAAAAATAGGAAAATTCGGTTCTTCAATTCTTCGTCTAGAACCGAAAACCGAATCAAACCTCACAGTTCTCTATTCAAATACCCGTTCAGGTATTTAATTTAAGAAGAACCACTCGGTTGGTTCATTTTGGTTCAGTTAGGGTCCTATTCAAGAATTTTGTCCAACCCTAGCTAAAAATTATGAAGAAGAGAAGACAATAGTTCAATGTAATTAACAATTACTTTCTTATCAATTTTGAAGATGTGCTAATCTTACATTTTACTCTGATATATGTACAAAATATGAATGCTTACCTCAGCTAGATCCTCGGCAAGATATTGAAGTTGGCCGGTAAGAGAAGTGACTTGTCTCTGAAGCCTCGGGATAAGTTGTTTTGCCTGCTGAAGTTCCGAACCCTGCTTCTCCAAAAGCTCCTGAAGTTGTGAATTCATCACATCTGGGAAAAGTATGGCACTTTTAAGAGACTTTATTTCTTCCCTTTGCTTCAAGCACAAATCTTTCAGCTTCTCGACCTACAAATTCTTTAATCATTAAATGAAATCTAAACATGGGATATTCAGAAAAACCTGCCTCAACCAAATCTCATGACCTCGGAGGGATCCCCTAGAAAGAGAAGATTAAACTGAAAAAACCGGGATTTCAATTATCAGTCAATCTCACACATAAGAAGTCCCAAATTTCAGTTAATTTACTCATATTTATCAATACATCCCGAATTATAGTGATCCTAAAAGATTTTTATTTCAACTATCATGCTATTGACTCCCCATTTGTTCCAAAGCTTCCATTTTTTCGTACACTTTACTCCTATCATCCGAAATCTTCAAATTTCAGTAAATTTCACACATTTTACCACATGAATCTTGATTCTATGTCATCTTAGATAATTAAGAAACACACATCAAAGTTCAACTATAAAACCATAAATTCTTCTGTACAGAACCACATAGAAACACACATATTCCCTCTCCATTTTTCTCTTCAAGTAGCAAACTTGAGCTCAGCTATCTGCTGCTCCTGCTCCTTATTTGCACTCAACAGCTCCCTCTCACTCCTCAACACCATAGCCAAAGTCCTTGTATTTCCTTTGACCTCAGTCAACGCCTTCTTCGAGCTTTCATCTCCCTTTTTTGCCCCTGATGAACCCTTGAATAACTTCTTGTGCAGCCCACTTAATCCGGTAGCCTTCTTGGCACTATTCTTTTTCAAATCCTCGGCTAAAAAATCAGCTGCCACAATGAATTTTGGGTCTTTACTTGAATTCTTTGCCTTCTTGTTTTCCATAAATTTCTTGACCATGAAGCTCAGATTAATGTTGTCGGTGGCAGTGACGTTTTTATTGGAGGTAGCTTTCGTGACGGCGCGCGAGGTGGTGCGTGATGTTGGGAACTCGGTGGATGAAGAAGGGTCAGATTTTGTGGAGCTGTTAAGGCTGTTAGCATAGCGAGTTGAGGGTTTGATTGAAGCCATTGTTCTTCTTTGGGAATGTGAAGAGGAAGGAATTTACTCCCCCTTTTATGTTAATCTTTTGGAGTGATTCAAATGACTTGCAATTTTAGGATAGCGGGAGAATTTGCCTTTTTTTTCTTCTTCTTTTTTTAATGATAATATTGTACTCTGATTATTGACTTACCGCTATCTGAATTCAAATATTTCAGGGGATTTCAGGGTGGACTCCCTGACCTTTGAGGGAGTGTGGTTTGCTTTCCCTAATATTTAAATATAAGATTTTGAGTCCCCCAACATATATAAGTATACAATTAATCTGCACGTACAGGGGGACTCTCACAAGGTGTGTATAGGTACTCACATGGGATGTGAGTCCGACATGGGACCCCGAGTAATAAAATATTGCAAAAAAAAAAAAAACTAACCCACCACACTGTGAGTAACTTGTAAAGCTTCTGTAGAAATTCTTTTGACAGTGTAGTACTGCTCATAAATATATATGAATTTGGAATGTTAATATGAATATTTGCACGTAATTAAATGGTTTGAGAATTTCCCCCCCTAATTTTTAGTCATGTGAAAGTAAGTACAATTTTAACATGCATATTAGAAATTTTGTCATGTAAAGATTTAAATATATCTATAATCTCACTTTTAAAGGTTACCTGAAAGTGCACTAGTTGAAAGCTTACATAGCCAAACTCTTATTTTTCATATATTTTGAGTAAAAGTGCTTCAATGTGTGATAATTGAAAGATTGGAAAGTGTCGACCACTTTTTCTTTGGTATTGACTGCGAGAATGTGTCACATTTATTCGATATTCTATTAGAGACTAGTTACCAATTAAATCTTGGACGATTAATATAGAATCATAACATTCTTGCAAAGTCAAATGACAATTTAGAATAATGTTATATATCATCATTCATTAGTATGCACCACTGATTAGGTGCAACGAATTTCTTATTTATTGTACAATGGAACCGTGTTACACTTTAATTCATTGGACAATGAGCAAATGACTCATTGCCACCTAATCATGATGCATCTTTATTTATAAATAAATTGGTCAAGCATACTTTTAAGGCGATAGGACCTACACTCATTAGGCTAATCCAAACTAGCATTTAATGCTCGTTTTGGTTTCATAATAATCTCCTCATAATTTACGGACGAATTACTACATATTTATTATCCACATATTTTGTGAAATCAATTTCTCTTCTTAATTGTCATCGCATTATAATTTATCCCCAAACAAAAGATAAATGAATGATACTATTAAATTCAATTTAATTTATAATTTATAGCTACTTAGTATTCTAGGGTCTCTATTATAAAAGATACGTGAATGATACTATTAAATTTAATTTAATTTTGGTTCTACTTTTTCTTTGGTACCAAAATGCATTGGGGACAACATCAAGATACATATACAGCATATTTGATATTGATTTTTCACTTCAAAAAATCAATTTTTTGACCGTTATTTCACTGTTAAAGCCATCATAATTTACTTCTTCTTTTACAGATAGACCCACTTTGCTTTTCAACGATCAAAAAAACAATTCTCAAAATCACTATCAAACAAGCCCATAATTTATTCGAAGTGTGAAACTTAGCCCTTGTTTAATTTTGATTCTCTGAAAATCACTTCTAATCCACGCTCAAATTACACTTAAAAAATTAAAATAAAATCATTTTTCACATTTACCCATCTCTTTCCTACTTTTAACCCCAAAAAATAAGAATAAAAATAAAAATTACTTTTAAAATAATCGCTTTCACAATAATAATATTAATAATTATAATAATAACAACAACAACAGAAATAGCTACTTCATATTATATTAAAAGCGGAACTCAAAACTAGTTGACATGATTGCACCAAATGCTGTCTATTCTAAATTTAAAACAAAACATCGAATATACATCCTAGTTACCAGCAACTAGTAACAACAAAACACTAAATAGCTTTGCCAACTTCAGGAGTAGGTTACAGATTCAAAATTACTCCATAGCAGTTTCTTGTTTGTATTCAAGTAACATCACTATTTCTTCACAGCTTTCCCCTTGACTGCAGCATGAGCAAGAGTATGAACCCTGTCCTCGTCGTCTTTGATAACAACTCGGTTCCACATGTTAAGCCTCTCAGCACCTATAGATGTGATTGGATCTGGTAACTGCAAGTTATCATCTTCGGAGCCTTCACATTTTGAAGAAGTGAGAGCTTTGCAATTAGGTTTAGATGGGCCAGTCGAAGTTGGGAAAGATCGAAGATTCACAACTGGGATGACAGTTGGAGATAAGAAAGAAATTATATCGGGCTTTGGCTTTATATCCACCCATATGTTATCAACCCAATCTCTTGAAGTCCTTGTATTTTTCCTTGGGATAGTCATAAACTTGTTCTCACCTACAAGAAAGTTTAAGCTAAATCAGAACCTCTAAGGCCGAGGCATGAATAACCCAACGTTGAACTACCTCTTGTAAAAGTTTGAGCTATAAATATAGAGAGGACAAATATTTGTATGTTGTCTTCAAATCGCCCCTTCATGTGCAGGTTGGTTCCATTTTCTCATCAATGGTCAGACACATGCACAATTGTTCAAAAATGGTGGCAGAGAGACTTGAATCTAAGTCTTTTGTATACCATGTTGCTCCACATCATCTAAAAGCTCAAGCTTTTAGAAATGGGACAAATTTATTCATTTAAATATTATGCTCAGCACCCAAAACGAGTGCAGTGGAAAGATAAACTCGTAGGAAGAATGTTCCCATCCTTTAATTTATCAAGTAGCTATTATTGCCCCTGTTTGGCCCCCATTTTTGGTAATGAAAATGGGGAAAATAGTGTTTTGTTGAAAAAATGAGTGGTTGAAAAAGAAGAAAAACTTTTCGATTTACGTGTAATATTATTTTATGGAAGATTGTGTGATTGAAAATAGGAGAGAGAAAAATAGAATGTAATGGAATGTAATTTAATGAAGATCAAACAGGGGCATTATGTGGTTCAAATGACGGTATAAAACTTATAGAATGGCAAGTTTGGGATTATGATTATTACCACAGTTGGAGATAAAGTTACTGGTTGTTATAAAATCAAGCCTATAAGAGTTACAAGGATGATAGGAAAAACCATATTTTGCCAACTATGATACTTACCAGGGAAGTAAACTTGAAGATTATCTGGTTGAATGGTGTCGCATCCAATCACAACACCTTCCCACCAACCATCACTCCACCATGCATCGACAGCTGCCCCAACCACAAAAGGACTGCCTGAAGAATCCTCCTCAGAAGGCCAAGGACGGACAGTAAGGCGGCCTTCACATCTCATGCCCAATCTATCAGGAGCTGCAACTCTAGATGCCGGATACCATTCCTGTATACAAAGTGCAAATGGATAAACAAATAATTTTGTAACTAGGTCAATAAATGTGTCTTCCCGACAAAAGTTTGCCCGATGGTTTCCCTGCAATGAACTTATTTTATCATGCAGTAATCATTGGTTACAAACCATGTCTTGATTCTTAAGTTGTATGAGAGATATAAAAATAATAATGAAGGATAATTTTCATCCTCCAAGTACAGAAAACAAAAGCAATAACATGAAGGATTCACATACTTCCAGTTTTGCAGGTCCATCAACATCAAGGACATCGTAGTATTGAACCCTCATACGCTTTTCTAGTGATTGCAAGATCGTACACCTAAACCAGCAGCCTCGCATGCCGCTATCCTCACAAAGAAGCTCTATATTTGCATTCACCTTAGACGGCACTTGAAGTTGGGCTTCAAGCCCAACAAGATCAAATACCAATAGGTTCCTTACTCGACATTTTGATTTTCAATCTCAAGATAGGTGGCCCACATTTTGCTGCCTCTTCACTTAGTTTATGTCCCTCATTTCTTGTCCGGGAGAAACTGGAATCCAGATGAGATAGGATTGGTTGATATTAGTAACCATGTAATTTACTTACAGAGAAGGACTTGACCTTGTCGTTTTTGAATTCTTTATGGCACATAAAAATTCCCAACGGCAAGCCTTGCACAAAATGAGCCCAACATTTTTGGAAATGATTTGGAGTCAAAACTGCAGCTAGACTGTCAACACGATCTACACTGATCTCCTGCTTATGAGGTGTGATGAAAACTTCTCTAGAATGTGCATTTACATGAGGAATCATACTGATGACTTCCTCCCTAAATTGAAACCATTGCACATTAACCATTTTCTCGCCATTCTTATCCTCATATAAGTCTTCCAGATAACCAAGATAGTGACTTCCTTCTTCACTCATTATCAGTGCAAAGGATAAAACCTAAAGATCAAGATGAGAGTTTTGAAAGCTGTTACAAAGCATATGAAGAACTCGTTTGGTTAGGCTTACAAACTAGTAGAGTTGTTCTAGAGCCAATTTTTGTCTCAAACATGTTTAAGCAACTTAGGGGGCATTTCTTTCTCATTTTTGTAAAAATAAGAATGAAAAATATAGCAGTTATAAGTCTCACACAAGAGATAGAAATTCAAATTTGATGGCTTGATGTGATGGATAACGATTATATTTTTCATTTGAATGAGAAAAGAATGGGAAACAAATGGGGGCTTATTATTTTTTCGTAACGAGTGAAAAGAAAAGGATTAATTTGTGAAAAACTGAAAATAACCCTTACCTTCAAATAGATAATTATTCGTTTTCAATTTTGATCAATAAAAACATGATCATTTTCCAAACTAACTTGTTTACTAATAAATAAATTAAGGCTTACAGCTATCTCAGTTCCATTTCTGCAAAAACCTGGATAATGCTTAAGCTGTTTACTGCAGATCCAAGCATCACCTTTCCACTCGATATTTGGATTTCTGACATTCAATTTTCTAGAGACTTGGATCTGAAATGAAGGTCCTTTATTAGTAATCTGAAGTTAATACACAGTTAAGCACAAAAATATCATAAAAAATGAACCAAGAATTAAATATCTAGTCACCACTTCATCCCCCTGGCGGCTCAAACAATTAAAGAAACTAGACATCCCGATTCCACTGGATTCCAGAGATTGTTTCGAGCGAAGTATTTTTGGATCTTCCAGGGAACGGAAGGGAAAAATGGCATAAAACTGTTTGCAA